GAAACTACTTATTAAAAGGGGGGACGAGTGTGGTGTGAGCTACTTATGTTCACATAAGTAATATATGATATAAAACGGAAATCAAACGTCTAACAGCAAAAGATCGAGAAGGAAAGAATGAGAACAAAAGGCGATTTGTAGGTAACGTAAAGTGAACTGAAGTCTGAACAGTCTAAATGAAAGAACACTGAAATCTGAAACAAATAATGATTAGTTTGCAATTGTTGATAGAAGGAAAGGTTTTGTACGTATGCCTAACAACTCTGTAATATTAGCTTGAATATATTGTTGATGTTCTCACCTGGGTTTTCTTGCACAACATTTGGTGTCGCTGCCAGGATCAAGATACCGTGGCCGGGGGGGTTTGACGGCGTGACGGAGCTAGCCGGATGGAAGCAGGAGAAGACGGTGGCTTTGGGATCACTGCTCCGCGGCCGAGCAAGGGCTGTGTACGACTGTCTGGATGACGAGGTGAGGACACGGAAGGCGGTCACGGATTGGCTTGTCGCGGAGTTTGACAGCCTAGTGGATAGGCAGGAGACACTTCAGAAGTTCAGGATAACGAAGTTGTGGGCGGATGGAGACCCACTGGTGCTGGCAGTCAAGTTGACCAAGCTGTTACGTCGCGCGCTGCCGAGTTTGAATGAGGAATCTTAAGCTCAGTTGTTGCCATCTCAGTTCACCGAGAGCGTTCCGGACGCCATTTCCCAGCAGTTGAAGTTGGTCAGCTCCACACAACCAATGCGTATAAGTGAATGGGCGAAAGTGACTCGACAGCTAATGACGCGACCAGTAGCTTCGATGGCGTGTGCGAGTCCGGAGAAAGATGATCTCGAGAAGCAGCGTGAAATTGCCGCAATGCGAGTAACTGGTGACAGGAATAATAAATGTTTCGTTTGTGGAGTGACAGGACATTATAGGAGAAACTGTCTCGCAAGACGAAGACGCAAGTGTGTGAAAAGGTATAATTCTGGTTTTTTCTGGTCGGGGAATCTGGGGTTGTCGAGTTAGTCGATAGAGGAGCGCTTTACGCCAGAGTAAGCATCAACGAACGCGAGTTAGTGTGTCTGATTGATATAGGGGCAGCAATATCGTTGATTAGCTGAGAGCTATATCAGAGGGTCAAACCATGTACATTGACATTTCAAACCGTAGGGGGACACCGGTTACAGGTTCTGTGCACGTCTAACAGTAACGTAAAGGTAGGAAGTGTGGAGATAAGTTTCCAGTTCGTAGTGACAAAAAGCTTACTGAGACCATTATTAGGAGCAGATTTCCCGAGAGAAGTAAAAGCGATAATCGACCTACGGAATGGTATGATAATCACCAAGTATGGAGCATTCCTGATACATGAGAGCAGTGAAGTGGCAGAGATAAGGGTAGCACCAGACAGGTCGGAAAAGAAACCAAATATTCACGAGTTGTGTGCAAAGTACGGGAAACTGTTCACGGGAGTCGAAGAACTGTACGGATTCTGCGACAAAGTAATGCACGAAATTCCGCTAAAGAACGAACAAGTAACCATATTTACAACACGTCGGGTGCCTGTACATTTGGAGGCGGAGATAAAAAGACAGGTACAAGAGATGTTGAAAGAAGGCATAAGTGAAGAAGCGGACAGCCCATATAGCTAGCCAGTGCTCTTGTTGAAGAAGCCGAACGGAAAATACAGATTTTGTGTAGACTTCAGAAAACTTAATAACATAACTGAACTAAAACCATGTGCAATGCCCACCCTGGGGGGGGACCTTGGATCGGCTGTAGAACGCCACACTGTTCACAGTACTGGATCAATGATCAGGGTACTGGCAACTGCCGATAAAAGAGAGCGATGGGAATAAAACAGCATTTACTGTACGTGATAGGCAGTACCAGTTCAGACGAATGCCGTTCGGGTTGGCAGGTGCACCGTTTAGGTTCAGAAGATTAATGATGCTTCTGCTCAAGAACCTAGAGATTATTGAGGTGTATGGCGACGATGCAGTGGTGAACAGCCGAATGGAAGCGGATCATGTTAACCATGTGGAAGCTGTCCTAAAGCGGATTGAAGAATTCGAACTACGAATTAATAAGGAGAAATCGCAAATAGCGAAAAGTAGTGTCATCTTGTTGGGGCATAAAGTTGGAAATGGAGAAATAAAACCGTTGCCGGAGAAAATACTCGCCATAAAGAACATCGCGGTACCTAATTCCAAAAGGTAGCCGAGAGAGTCTCTTGGAAGGGCGGCGTTCTACAGTCGATTCCTCAAGAACTTTAACGAAGAAGCAGCGCCCCTCTATAAGTTGTTAAGCTACACTAAGTTTACGTGGACAGAAATTGCCCAGCAAAGGTTCGACCGTATCAAAAACCTATTGGACGACCGCCGGATTACGCTAGGATTACCTGAATCTGAAAAACTGTTTACAGTGGCAACAGATGCGAGTGACCGTGGATTGTGATTGGAGAAATTGTTCCTTATTTGCCCAACAACCTTAACCTTGGTAAGTTGCTGGATCCTGAAGCGTTAAACACGCGACTGCCATCACCCTAAAGCAAAATCTAGTGTAGAACCACTGAAGATATTATTTTAGAAATCCGTTTCTCAGGCTCAACCCCCTAGGGGTATGAAGGACGTCATAATTTACCCAGTATTAAAACTTGACAAGAGACAGACCGGGTACAACTACCGGATTGTCAGTCTCACCAACACAGTGGTCACGTTAATTGAAAAAATAATTCAAACTAGGTTACCAAGTCATGTAAAATTAAACAATTCGTTAACTCCTGAGCAACATGGGCTTCAGAATGAGTACTCATACTTAAATAATTTACTAATTACGGGGGTGAATCAGACAAAAGCTTATAATGACGAGCTGTCCGTCTACATAATATCCATGGGTTTCAACAAGGAATATGACTAGGATTCCAACTTCAGACACTTACAAAAGCACTCTAGCTTGGAATAATTGATGCAGTAAATGATTAGATGGAAAACTTCCTCCGTGGTGGAAGACGGGGAGATAGAGTAAACGAACACATTCCAGATGGGAAACGATCCAAAGTAGTGCACCATTAGGCATTATTTCGGGTTTCCAATTATTCCTTTTGTATACTCACGAACTATCGACTCATCGCCTCTGGTGTTCACAATTGAGATCGAGATTTGGAGAACAACCAGAATTGAGGCTTATCAACCCGATCTACACGCTAACTTAGATGGACTAGTTAGATGGTCACGATGTTTGGTTTACAAATTAATGCTAGAAAAAGTGTGCTAATATGCATTGAATACGGCATTAGTCATCAGTGAACAGTCAACAGTGCATTGAGACCACAAGTCTTAGTAAGTCACGACTTAGAAACAACAGCATATTATAATGCATGGTGTTATGATCAAATCAAATGCTTTGAGAAGGATATATGTCGTCACAGCAAACATTTGGTCCTTGTCTGACTAAAGATGATATCACACTTGGAAATGCCCAGCGTGTGAAAACTAAGTTGGTGATGTGTCTTTACAAACTCCGTTGGGATATACGCTTAGATAGTTCAAACATTTCCCCACTATTTTACAACGAAATATGACCGTATTTCGGCATTCCGTATCTTGAACAAGAGTTTGGTTGGTGACGTAGTCTGAATTTTTGCTTAGTCGCGAACTAACTATTTCCAATGTCATTACAAAAAGGTTCATAAACTGTGATCTAATGTACTGGGTGAGAGATTCTATGATTTACATCGGGTAGCTAATGACTGTAACTCTCTAACCTAACAAGTGGTATTGGACCCGTTTCATGACACTTCCAAACGGAAGCTACATTTTTACCACAAAGCAATCCGCAAATATAGCACACATCGAAACGTCTACTCCCCTTTAACTGAATCACTCCTGACTTAGTAGTATGGAAACTAAAATCCTTACGCCCAGGCAAGTCACCAAGTTGTGACAAAATTCGCCCAATAGTCTTGCAGCAATGTGCACAAGTCCTCTATTCATCGCTTTGTGACCTGTTCAGGCATTCACTGGAGTCACACCATCTCCCAGCTGAATGGAAATAAGCTACTCTCTCTCCGATCTTCAAAGGAGGAGACAGAATGGACACAACCTGTTACAGACCAGTCGCATTACCACCAATACTAGCAAAGGTTATGGAAGGACTAGTGGACGAACAAATGAGGGAGTACATGGATAAAATTAAATACCCCATGAAGCTCGACATGGGTTTCGGAAAGGCAGGTTGTGTACATCTAATCTTCTCATTGCATGGGACAGTTGGACATCCTGTTTGGACCGTAAAATGCCGGTGCACATAATATTTATAGACTTTGCAAAAGCCTTTGACACGCCTAATCGAAAAGGTCGTGGAAATGGGCTTCACTGACCCACTCCTATCTTGGCTCATAAACTACCTTGAGAATAGAGAGTTTCGCACCAAGGTAAACAGAGTGCACGCGAGTTGGCGAGTATCCACATCGGGAGGTTCACAGGGTACCATCTTAGGCCCACTTCTCTTCCTGATATATATTAACGACCTGTTAGGCTTAGTTAGCTCACAGATGATGCGAAGATCCCGAGGTCCATTAGAGGTGAAGAGGATTCGACTGAGCTTCAAAAGGACCTTACATCTATTGAGAAATGGGCAGTGAAAAACGGTTTAAAACTCAACCAACCGAAGTGCCACGTCATGCATCTCCTGCCTCATAGGACATAAACGATCTACACCCTCAATGGAAGTCCGCTCCCTAATGTCTCCTCAGAGCGCGATCTCGGTTTATTAACCACAGAAAGCCTTCACAAGAGTCCAAACCATGTAGGGGACGCAGCCAAGGCAAATGCGACTCTTCACTTTACGCGAAGACAACTTGGTGCAATCAGCCCAGAATTTTTTGACACTTTTTAAGACGTAGACGCGCCCGCACCTGGAGGTTCACAATGTCATCGCACCCCGTCCGCTTAAAAGAGACATAAATCTCCTGTATCGAGAGCTCGTGTAAAAAGATATTGAATATTGGACCTATGAAATGTGCGTATTTTGAATCGAGCGTTACTAGACTGTTTTGAAAACGGACAGGTATATCTTTACTTTTTGAGTCACATTTATGTATTTCACCACTAATACGATGTAAAACTTCTGTTCTCATTTTAATTTAAATAATCCTTGATGAATAAATAAAAGTGATTACTTTTTAGCTCACTTTCTCATGTGTACCATATTGAGTCTGGATTTTTTCGTTTTGTGTGCACGTTTGAACTTAACATATAACGTTTCACTTTATCTCGTTATTGATGCCGAAGAATTTCATCGTATAACTACGTCTATCCCCAACGGGTAACAGTAATTTGACCACGCAGTTGGTCGAACTTACGTCTGTTATCCCCATTGAAGCATAGACAGCCTACCAGTATTCGCTAGCCAACTCTGTCCTGCGCTTACTTTTCTAGTTCCTTCCAGTTTTTATTCATGCTTCTCATGTGTTTCTCTATTTCTCGGCGTAATATGTTCTTTGGCCTTCATCTTTTCCTTTGACCTTGAGGGTTCCATGTTAGGGCTTGTCTTGTGACGTAGTTGGGTGCTTTTCGCAGTGTCTATCCTATAAACTTCCACCGTTTCTTCCTGATCTCCTCCTCCGCTGGAATTTGGTTTGTTCTCTCCCAAAGTAAGTTGTTGCTGATAGTGTCTGGCCAACGGATCCGAAGTATTTTGCGTCAGTCAGTCAGATGCAACGTAGAACTTTGTACATAAGTACATCAGTTCATGTTGCCATACCACATCAGCACAGAGAAGTAATCGTCAATTCAAATCCAGTAGTAGTAGAGTGAGTAAAGGTATTAGAAATAATCGGAGAGGTTAGGATTAGAAGATACTATTCAAGAAGTATGATTCAGTGAAAGTTTAGAGAGTCGAAACTAGAGGTGTTGAAGAATCCAGAAGATTAGGATTTGAGAGAACACAGAATAAATACACCGGCGCCATTGCAATCGATTTTGAGCCATGTCATTCAAGGTCTCTAACCATCGATTATTATCATCTCGCGGACCCCAACCAGGTAGTCGACAATTACCGACATGTCTCAGAATTTTGCGTAGACAACTGTTAATAAACACTTGTATCTCTTTGATGATGCCTTTCGTAGTTCTCCAGGTTTCCGCCGTATACAGTAGAACTGTATTGGAATTTTTTATCGAGAATGTTGAGATTGGTGTTGATTGATATTTGTTTGTAGAGAGTAAGCAACCTTGCCTGACAACGGTCTTCACCTCGAACGAGTCTGTTAGCTGTCTTTCGTGTACGATTTTGCAGTTGAATCCATCATAAGAATTCCGTATGATGTTAACTATTTTCTTAGGCACGCCGTAGTGTCAAAGAAGCCTCCATAGTGTTTTGCTGTCCACACTATCGAATGCTTTCTCGTAGTCGATGAAGTTGATGTGGAGTGGTGAGTTCCATTCAATTGATTGTTCCACAATGATCCGTAATGTTGCATTTTGGTCGGTACACGATCGACCCTTACGAAATCCAGCCCGTTGATCTCGTAGTCGGGCGTCTATAAAGTCTTTCATTCTGTTTAACAATACCATGTTGAAGACTTTGCCTGGTATTGAAAGAAGAGTGATGCCTCTGTAGTTCTCACACTTGTTTAGATCGCCTTTGTTTGGTATTTTGACCAGATATCCTTCTTTCCAATCTGATGGTACTTGTTCCTCATCCCAAATCTTCTTGAAGAGGATGTGAAATATTTTCGCAGTTGCTTCTACATCTGCTTTCATTGCCTCTGTTGGAATGTTGTCTGGTCCTGCTGCTTTGCCGCTCTTGATTTGTCTGATGGCCATACTGATCTCCTCAATCGTAGGTGCGCCAATATTAATTGGGAGATCCGTGGATGCTGCTTCGATGTTGGGTGTGTTCAGTGGAGCTGGTCGATTCAAGAGTTCCTGAAAGTGCTCTACCCACCTATTTCGCTGTTCTTCAGTGTTGCTGATTATTTTCCCTTCCTTGCTTTTCACTGGTCGTTCTGGTTTACGATAGTTCCCGGCGAGCTTCTTTGTTGTTTCGTACAGTTGTCTCAAGTTTCCGTCTCTTGCAGCCTTTTCCTCCGTCATTGCTAGATCTTCCACATATTTTCGTTTGTCGGCTCTGACGCTCTTCTTCACTTCCCTGTTTATTTCTGTATATGCAGCTTGTGCGGTAACTTTCTCTGCTCTTGTTCGGCTGACATTGATTGCTGCCTTCTTGTTCCTCCTTTCTTCAATTTTCGCAAGAGTATCAACAGAGATCCATTCCTTTTGATGGTACTTCTTGTGACCCAGAACTTCGTGACATGTTGAAGTGATTGCCTCCTTGATCCCTTTCCAATTGTTCTTCAATGTTGTGTCCTCTCCATTGAGTATATCGTGCAAGGCCTGGAACCTATTGGTGAGGGCTATCTTGAATTCGTTGAGTTTCACGGTATCCCGAAGAAAGGCCGTATTAAATTTCTGTGTTGTTGTCTGCCCCATTTTCCAGTTCTTCTTTTGTTACAGTTTCATTTTGGCGACCAGCAAGTGGTGGTCTGAGTCTATGTCAGCTCCTTTCTTGGTTCTCACATCCTCCATGGTCCTTCTAAACTTTTTATTGATACAGATATGGTCGATTTGTTTCTGAGTAGTGTGGTCCGGTGAAATCCATGTAGCTTTGTAAATGCGCTTGTGTGGGAATATTGTGCCCCCGATGACCAGTTTGTTGAAGACACATAGGTTTGCAAACCTCTCACCACTTTCGTTCCTTTCTCCCAGTCCATGTCGTCCCATGATGTCTTCATATCCACTGTTGTCCATGCCAACAATGGCATTTAGGTCTCATTAAAATCGTCAAATCCTTTGGTGAGCATCTGTCTTCAGCCTTTCGTAGAATTGATCTTCAACGTCGTCATTGTAGTCATTGGTAGGTGCATAACATTGGATGACGTTCATTGTAATGTCCTCTTTCTTTGTTTTGAAGGATGCTTTAATGATCCTTGGTCCATGAGATCCTCATCTTGTGAGTGCCTTTTGTGCATGTTTGGACAGCGTCAGTGCAACTCCTTGTGTATGTGAAGAATTTTCTTCTTCATGACCAGAGTATAACAGCAGTTCCCCTGAAGCTAGTCTCAGTTGTCCTACCTGTGTCCAGTGCGTTTCACTTATGCCGAGCACCTCGAGGTTGTATCTTTTCATTTGTGCCGCAACTTGAAATAGTCTTCCAGTCTCCCACAATGTACGAACGTTCCATGTACCTAAAAGAATGGTTTCTCTGATTGTCAGAAGAGTCATCGGCCCCGTGACGTCCGACAGAACTCGGCTTTCATCATGCGACGTCATAATTCTCCCTCCAACTCGCAGGGCAGGGTGAAAATGGTTTGAATTATTTTTTCTGGTTAGCGTTTTTTTGGCAAGTTAGTTTTTTGGTGGGATGGGGTCGCCAACCCCATGCTTCACCCTCCTCCTTTATCCGGGCTTAGGACCGGCAGTAGCCCCGAAGGTTCTACAGGCGGATTTCTATTCCTAGCAAACACTAACTTTAAGCCCTTGTGACCTGGTGACCCCCAAAGCCGACCCAACTAGATGATCACATTGTTATAAGCCATCGGTGGAGAGGTTCTGTTGAAGACTGCCGCTCATTCTGGAGCACTTGTTTAGATTCAAATCATGCCATAGTGCGTGTATTTGTTTGAGATTCACTGGACGTAGGAAAGAGACTGTCAGGAAACCTGTCAGGGTTCTTTCTAATGATAATAAAGATAAGAATTTATTTATGAACAACTAGAGAAACAGTTGGGCAACCATGTAAGCGATTCCCATCCGGATGCACGTTGGAATGATATTGAAAAAGGTGTGAAAACAACAGGTAAACCATAAGGTAAGGAAGAAGCCATGGATCTTAGTAGCATCCACCGAACTGATAGATGCTCGTAAACTCATCCATCCTGGCTCTGAACATAATCAAAAGCGACGTCAGCTTGAGTTCAGGCTGATAAAAAAGCCTTGATAAAAGGCCTACACAATGATCGTTAACAGTGGTGGGTAGCGAAAGCAAGAGCGATGGAAAAGGCAGCGGCGATAGGCAACAGCAGACAGTTGTTCCGACTTATCAAGGGGACCGGTATTAGAAATCCGAATGTGAGTGAGACTATCCGAGAAATGGATGGTCTTATTATTCATTCTCAATCCAGGAGATTGGATCGATGGGCAGAACAGTTTAGGGATCAGTTCAATTGACCTTTAGCTACACATCGATTGCCTACGATCTCCAGTCATCCTGAATGGTGAATCGATATAGGTCCTCCGAGTCTGTATGAAGTTGAGAAAGCCATAGGAAATCTGAAGCAAGAGAGAGCAGCAGGACCTGATAGATTAACCCCTGAGATTTTTAAGGATGGTGGTGACTGAGATCTTAGGTAAGATCTGGGAACTTGATGTAATCCAATCTGAATGGTCTCAATCCCTGAGTGTTCCTATTTATAAGAAAGGACAAAAGTCTTGTGACAATCACAGGGGAATCAACCTAACTAACATAGTTTCTAAATTGTTAGCCTCAATTATACTTAGACGCATAACTAGGGCTAGTGAAGAGCAGACTAGAGAAAACCAGTCTGGTTTTCGACGTGGACGTGGCTGTATAGACCAAATTTTTACACTATGATAGGTCCTGGAACACAGACACTTTTCGACGTTCGACAAAATGTGTTTTCTCTGACTTTAAAGCAGCAGATGAATCTGTCGATCGTGAGGTTCTGTGGCAGTGTCTGTCATTGAAAGGTGTACCAGAGAAGTATATTAACCTTATACAAGCTCTCTACTGCGGCAGCCGAGTAAGCAATTCTCTAGTTAGGAAACGAGTACTAGGTAGGGATGGCAGATAAATTGAAGTATTGATATTTCATCAGTTGAGGTGGTTGGGACATGTGTTACGAATGCCCAACCACCGACTGCCTTGATAAGCTATGTTTTGTAGTGTAGGAATAGGTTGGAAGGAAGCTAGGGGCGGCCAGACCAAAACATGGCACAAATCCATGAAGTCACTGACTAGTGGACTGTGTCATGTCGGTAGGTGTCGACTACCTGGTTGATGTTTGCGAGATGATAATAATCTATGGTTAGAGACCTTGAATAACATGGCTCAAAATCGTTCGCGATGGCGCCGGTGCATTTATTCTTTGTGTTCTCTCAAATCCTAATCTTCTGGATTCTTCAACACCTCTAGTTTTGACTCCCTAAACTTTTCTCACTGAATCATACTTCCTGAATAGTATCTTCTAGCCCTAACCTCTCCGATTACTTCTAATTCCCTTACTACCTCTACTACTATTGGGTTTGAATTGACAATTATATCTCTGTGCTGATGTGGTATGGCAACATGAACTGATGTACTTACGTACGAAGTTCTACGTTGCATCTGACTGACTAACTGACTTATGTATTTACGTACGAAGTTTTACGTTGCATCTGACTGACTGACAATAGAGCAAGTGTATTTTGAACATTGTCAACTTTGCTTGCTTATATACCTACTGGCAACGTTCGTTGCGTTGTCTTTATGCATCATAGCAGCATTGATGACGCAAATACAAATTACTTTTTATTGAACTGTTTATAAGCTGCAGGTGTTAGATTTGTGTAGACTTCGTGGTACTACTCTTTGCACTCATCACACTGCATACCATTATCAACAGAGTATCTGCAGCCTTAGTGTTGGTGAATGCTTCTTTACACTCTCTAGTCATCAAAATGAGTTTTCTATTTGATTCTCCTATGTGGACGATTATAAAAATGTTATTTACAGTGCTTACTGTTTAACGGTGAGAACTCTGTAGTTTACTTGTCTAATGGGCCATAGCCTATTAATACCTCTGCATAGTGATTAACTTTTGCCAGACACTTAATCACGGATTTTCTACTTATAAATTTTAAAACAGTCCGAAATATTTTTTTCTCCTCTTTCCTATAGACTCGTTAATGTCAATAGTTTCCTCATATCATCAGTATGATGCCAATTTCCCTATAAATAGAAATGTCAGGAGCTTTTGCACAAAATAACTCTAGATACGTAATCGCTCAAGAAGCAACAAGTGTCAAACGTGTAAGTCTATATAATAATAATGTTTTTCTTCATCATCTTAGCTTTTAGATGAGAATGAACACATCATAGAGTTAGTGTCTGATCTTACTAGAAAAGGTCGATTCCGAGAGTCGGTTCAACTTCAGACTGTTCTTCAACGCAATTTAGTTTACCTTGTATCGTTAGTTGATCAAAATAACTTGGCATCACATCAATCAGTTGATACTGCTTCTCAATAACACTGCTATGCTATCATAAACTCATCTCTCCTTTTTTTTTATCTTCTGCTAATTTTGTCACAAGATCTTGTGTATTTCAAAATAAATGGTGCATTCTCCTGTGTACCACAGAAATCGATATTTGTCCTTTTTTTCCAATCTTTTTACCAGATAACCACCTAGAGATCTCAATTCATGTTTTTCAATGTCATATAAACGCTTCACACTTTTACATTTTTAATATTTTGCTTGAAAACCTAAGAATAATCTTATTTATCAAGTTGGTTTAGGCATCTCAATGATTAATCTCTGTTTCTATTTATTGGGGTAGACAATATTTTAATTGTATTTAGTTTATTTTTTATTGATTTGTATTTCAATAATCATGTACTTGTGTTTATTTGTGTGGTTAGTAGCTCTAGCTTTTTGTGTCCAATGTTATTAACAGATTATTGGTTTATCAAATTATAAATATTTTTTTTGAACAACTTGTGGGATTATATGGTCATCTAAATGATTGTTGCTCGTGTTTTCTGCTTAATTAGTGTTTTGTGGAATATGAAGTGGTAAAATGTCCCTCTAAGCACAACAGACAGACAGATACAACACAGAACTTCGTACGTAAGTATATCAGTTCAGGTTGCCATACCACATCAGCACAGAGATGCAACTGTCAGTTCAAATCCAAGAGTGATAGCGATAGTAGAAGTATTATCAGTAATTGAGAAGATTAGGAAGCGAAGATATGATTTGATAAGTATAATTCAGTAAGATAAATTTAGAAGGAGAAAGATAGAGATTATGAGGAATTCAGAAGGTTACAATTTCATAGAACACAAAGAGTGGATGCATCTGCGCCATTGTAAACGATTCTAAACCATGTCATTCAAGGTCTCTAACTATTGGTGACTTTCGTCTCGCGGACCCCAACCAGGTAGCCTACATCTACCAACGTGACTAAATCCACATGTCAGTGACTTCATGGATTTGTGCCATGTTTCGGTTAGGCCGCCCCTAGCTTTCTTCCAACCTACTCCTACACTGCGAAACATAGTTCGTCGCGGCAGTCGGTGGTTACGCATACGTAACTCATGTCCCAACCACTTCAACTGATGAAGTTTCACTACTTCACCCATTGATTTGCCATCCCTACCTAGAACTCGTTTCCTAACGACAGCATTGCTTATATGTCTGTCCCAGGATAGACGAGCGATGCTTCGGAGACATCGATGATCGAAGACCAGTAACCTACTAAAGTATTTTACTCTTAACGGCCATGTTTCGCATCCGTATAGGAGAACGGAGCAAACTGCTGCACAATACACTCGTCCTTTGGTTAGCAAGCGGATATTTCGCCTTCACCATAAGTGACGTAGGTTGGCAAAAGCCAATCGAGCCTTCTGCATTCGAGCTGAGATGTCGTCAGTCACCAGGCCATCAGCATTGATGAGAATCCCGAGATACATGAAGCGGTCTACACGTTCGACTACTTCATTCCCTCACTAGTTCAGTTGCCGATGCAACATTTTGCATTTCGAAGGGGAAACCGCATCCCGAACATGCTTGCATTGTTACTTAGGGTGGTCAGAAGACTGCATTTCGTCAGCGTCTTCACCGAATAGTACTATGTCATCGCCATATTCTAGATCAGTAAGCGATTTTCCTGGTAGAAGGTCGACCTCTAAGCACAACAAATTATTAGTCTGTCAAAAAAGCGTGTTTGTAAAGGATTTCGTTTATGATGGTTTCCAATCACCTTGGCTCTTGTCAACTTGCATCGACTGTTGTATAAAGGTGATGATCTTTAAAAGTAAACATTTTTGAGTTATTATTATTTGATCACAAATGTCTGCAAAGCTATGGTTGTGTATATGGGGACCATCGAGTGATAATCCTGAAGTCAGATACCTCATATCAAATAAAGATGACAAATTGGTTGAAAAAAGTATTCGATTCTCATCAACTGAGGGGATTATGATATCTGTTACAAATCTTTTCAACAAACTCTTACCTCGAGAAGGGGTCTTTACTTGTGTAGGTTCGAAAAAAGTTATATGGGATCAGTTCTTGTGTTGCAAAAAGATAACATACTGATATAGGTCTAATACTAACTATCAGTCTACCGAAAAGTGTAGATCAGCAATAAATGCGTTAGGCTGACGACACTAATGTTACAAATAGGCTCTTGCAGTCTCGCGAAACGCAATTATTTTCTGCAGATTCCCTACGAATTCTGGAGCCACATAGTGATTCCATGGGTACGCATGGATCTGTTATTGTCAAGGATTCATTATTACCAAAACGACTTATAAAACTCATCATTTTCAGTTTGTATGAAATGAAGCTCAACCTCTACTTTAACAAAATTTCCTTTTACTAGGTTTTACTATCACCTAGAAAATTTCACAAAACTTTCGTTAAGACTGAAAAACCTATTTGGATCATGTCAAACTATTTGCAACATCAGTCACTCAGCTACAATGTAGAACTTTGTACATACATCATTTTAAGTTGCCATACCACGTTAGCACACAGAGAGGAGTTGTAACTTTCCGGCTGCCCACACTGTGGATGGGTACCTATTACTTACTTACTTACTTACTTACTTACGCCTGTTACCCCCAATGGAGCATAGGCCGCCCACCAGTATGGGTACCTATTATTGAACCTGAAAAGGAAATAGGTTTAGCATTCGTCTGAGTGACCTGGGACCGTGACCGCAGAGCCCAAGGGACTACTTGAGGCAGGTTACTCACGTCCTTTTTATGGGAAGTCTCGAAATTCGCGAGTTAAGGTGAGGTGTGACATTTATAGGTTCGACCTTTGCTTACCCCTTCCTTCTTTAAAGAAGGTAGCATCGCTGTAGATGCTGGTTATCCGATCGAAACATCTTATTGCTGTCACAACTTTCTACAGTCAGCAGCACGGTTTCGCCCTTAGACCTTAAGTTGCTACTTTTAGTCTCACCATTCTCCAACCGACCTGCCTGGCGTGGTAGAACCTACAGAAACATATGTTTCAGCCAGTAAAGCTCGGTTGGGTCATCACAATAGGCAAGTCTGATCACCACATCAAGGTTGCAGCTACGGTATAATCCAGTGAAATAAATTTAATGGAAGAAGAAAGGTCATGACTCTGCCTTAAACCTCTCTGGAGCTACTGCCGTGATAAAGGAGGAGGGTTGGGTTTGGCGACCCCATCCCGTAGTAAACTGAAAAACGCTAACCAGAAAACATAATTCAAACCATATAAACTTTGCTCTAGGAGTTAAAAGGTCTTCTTTCAGAAGAGTTATGACGTCTCATGATGAAAGACGAGTTCCTTCTGAAGTCGCGAGACCGAAGCCTCTTCTTACAACCAGAATCCTTCCACGGTGTGGGCAGCCGGAAAGTAACATCCGTCGTCATACCCATAAAAGCACACGAGACCGAACTGGTCACTACCAAATCCTTTCTACACCTCCCAACCAACCGTTCTTTCGGTCGTTTATCACCTCAGGCCGCCGAAGCAGACGGTTTGAGCTCACGAAACATTTTTTTCTGGTGTCTTGAAACCCCGTACTAAATTACATATTGTAGTGTTTAATGTTCGAACCCTATGCCAAATAAGGCGACAGGCCTCATTAGCTAGAACTCTGGAATCCCGTGCGATCGATGTATGTTGCATCTCCAAAATGCGCATACAAGATCCGAGTAAAATTATCAGTTTGATCTTATCCTAGTGCAGACAGAGAAACAATACTGTTTACCCAAGTATGTAAAAGTTTCAACATCGTCCAAAGCTTCTCTTCTCAGTGTGATTTGATTGTTACATGCTGCGTTTTATTGAAGGATCTTGCTTCTTCCTTTGTGTATGTTGAAACCTACTGTCGCTGAGGCTTCTGCATCCGTGCTGTCTATTTTATTTCGTGCTTCCCTTGAGATTTTGACGCGTCCATAGTCCAGTCAACCACAGATAGACAGATACATCGCAGAACTTCGTACGTAAGTACATCAGTTCAGGTTGCCATACCACGTCAGCACAGAGACGTAACTGTCAGTTCAAATCCAAAAGTTATAACGATAGTAGAATTATTAGCAGTAATGGAGAAGATTAGGGAGCGAAGATATGAATCGAAAAGTATAATTCAGTCTCTAACCATTGATTATTATCATCTCGCGGACCCAACCAGGTAGCCTACATCTACCAACATGACTCAGTCCGGTTGTTATTGACTTCATGGATTTGTGCCACGTTTTGGTCTGGCCGCTCGTCAACCACCGTCTGTAGTTCTCACACTTTCTGAGATCTTTCTTTGGTATTTTGGTGAGGTATCAATCTTACAAGTCTGTTGGTACTTGTTTTTCCTCTCAAATATTACTGAACAAAGCACGGAGTGTCTTAGTGATTACTGTTGTATGCTTTCAATGTCTCAGATGCTATGTTGTTTCATCCTGCTGTATTTCCACTGTTGAGTTGTCTTATGGCCATGCTGATCTCTTCAATTACGTCAAAAACATTTGGGAGGTCTGTAGATGCTGCTTCGATGTTGGGTGGGTTCAGTAAAGTTGGTCGCTTCAAGAGTTGTTCAAAGTGCTCAATCCACCTGTTTCACTGTTCTTCAATGTAGGTGATTGGTCTGACTCCTTGTTCGTCACTGGTCGTTCTGGCTTACCATATTTTCCAGCAAACTTTTTCGTTGTTTTATAAAGCTGTCTCGTGTCTCCTTCTCTTGCAACTTTTTCAGTTATAACTGCTAGACCTTCCACACATTTCCGCTTGTCATTTCTAATATCCCTCTTCACTTGTTTGTTTGCTCCTGTGTATCTGGCCTGTGTATTGACTTTATTTGATCTTGTTCGATTGTTGTTGACTGCTGTCTTCTTTTCTTCAATCTTATCCAGAGTATCAACAGAGATCCATCCGTTTGTTGGTGCTTGCTATGGCCCAGAAACTTATGACATGCTGAAGTTGCTGCTTCCATGATTCTTTTTTCAGTTACTCTCTATGGTAGTTTCCTATTCATTGAGTAGATCGTGAGACGCCTGGGACTTATTTCTGAGGACTATCTCCAGTTCACTGAAGTTGTCAATATCCTAGAGAAAAGCCGTAATAAACGTTTATGATGCTATTCGTCCATTTTTCCACTGCTCCTTTAGTTTCAGTCCCATTTCGGCTATTACCAATCTATAATCTGATGCTATGTTAGCTCTTCTCTTGGTTCCTACTTCCTTCGACGTCCTTCTGAACTTTTTAATAATGCAGGTATGGTCGATCAGGTTATGTGTAGTATGGTCCAATGAACTTCATGTAGCTTTGTGTAGGTGTAGGAATATGTTACCTCCTATGACCGTTTCGCAGAAGGCGTATAGGTTCACAAATCTCTCACAATTTTCGTCCATTTTTTCCAGTTCATGTCGTCCCATGATATCCTCGTATCCAGTGTTGTACATCTCGACCTTGGCATTTAAGTTTCCCATCACAATAGTCGAATAGTTTGCTGGGTATTTCTCGAAGACCGACT